AACAAACAAAAACATTTCTCTTAAAAAGCTATGTTTTGAAGAACTTATGTTGAGAGAATATGCATACTATGCAAATTATGCTTTGAGAGCTTTTGAGAAGTAAACCAGATATAGCATTCGTGTTTATTTCCCTTGTTCTTCTTAAAGACATGCAGTTGTTATAGCATAAGATGAAAAGTGAATAATTTGGTATGGTCAATTGTTATTCCTCTTCTCAGGTCTGACTGCACAGTTCATCTTAGCTTAATGTTTCTTTAAGTTCAAAATTAACAAACATTATGTTTACTACCCCCTACTTTCTTACCTCTTCACTAGGTCTCTTCCCTCCAAGCTATTGTACATATCAATGCCCAGTCTTCCTAATATTGCTTTTATCACATCCTTTCTTTGCTCAAAAATGTCCTATTGCTCCCTTTACTCATGGGATAAAGTCCATACTTCTTAAGCTAACACTCAAGACGCTCAATAGTGTGACCTAGATCTCTTTAACTTGAACCCTTCAAAAATTACCTCATAGTCCCTTGAGGATACTTTATTCTTTCTTACAGCTCTGCTTTTGATAACACTTCTGTTGAAATGTTTTGTCCAAATCCAAATCATACTCGTCTTTTAAACTCTGGTATATTTCCTACTCTTCCATGGTCTTTCTCAGTCATTTTCAGCCCTCTGTGTATTCTTATTTCCTCAGGATAACTTAGTGACAATTGCTTTATGATATTTCCTTGTTAGTTAGGACTCTTTCGATTGCCAGTGACACAAACCTTCAAAAAGAGTTCAAGGAAAAATACTTGACTTTCTCTTCATAGTGATGGCTTTATTCTTAGGCAAGCTATCTCCTTTTGGGAACAAAGATAACCACAAGCAGCTAACTAACCTGGAAAAAAGAACATGGTCTCATATTAGTCCCCCTAAATTACTTCGATTGGCTTACCTTGGATCATGTATCTATTCCTGAATCTGACAGTCACTGTGACTACAGAGAGATGGAGTGCTCTATTTAACTGACAAGCCTGGGTTATGAGTCTTACTCTGTTGTGAAAGTAGCGATGTCCTTTATTTCACAGATAAATAGTCCTGCTTCGCATCACACGGGAGTTGGGGAAGAGCACTTCTTGAAATGAAGGATTGCAGAACAGATTAAAATGAAACAGACGTATACTATGTTGTGTTAGTATTTTTTGAGACTCATTTGAATCTTGTGCTGTTATTTTACTTTTAAAGGTTTTATACTCTGTTGTAAAAATTATTTTGGAAACTCCTTTGTAGGGGAGGGGGATTTCATAGGGGATTTTATATCCTTCTGTGTAGACAGCGGTACCTTGATCCAGGCTCAGTTAACACATATTTTTGTTGTCGATAGGTTTACGAAGTATTTTGAGAGTAAAAAATAGCAAACTCAGTAATGTAGAGCTGATATTGGTTGGCCTTAGTGTTTCAGAGGTTTTATTTAAGACCTAGAATCAGTTGCTTATGTAATTGTACTTGCAATATTGGCCATAGTGTGAATTTTTAAACAAAATATTTTGCCCGCTACTGTTAAATTCATTTTGCCAAATGTTTTACAGGAAAATTCTTTTATCTTATAGATGGATTTAAATCTGAAAGAACAGGTTGTCATCTTAGATGAAGCTCACAACATTGAGGACTGCGCTCGGGAATCAGCAAGTTACAGTATAACAGAAGTTCAGCTTCGGTTTGCTCGAGATGAACTAGATAGTTTGGTCAACAATAATATACGGAAGAAAGACCATCAACCTCTACGAGCTGTGTGCTATAGCCTCATTAAGTAAAAATATTTGTCTATCAGTGTATTTGTGCTGCCTTTATATTAAAAACATGTTTGATTATGCCAGAGTGTTTTAAAGTTAGTAAACTTTGATTAACCAGGCTACTTGGGAAATGGGTTGTTCCTTCCTCTTGAAAAAAAGTTGAAAAAAGTCCCACCTTTTGTCTTGTTCAAAAGAATGTAATGGACATAATTGATTTTAAAAATTAATAATCGTGAATCTTATTCTTAATTTAGCAGGATAACTTAACGGTCCCAAAAGATGTGTATAGGACATTGAACAGAAATGAAACATAGTTTTAGTTAATAATATTTTTAAATTCTGGATCATGGCTTTACTTTATTTCTTTATCGTCCAATTTGGGTAGGATTCTAGTTTGATGAGTTTTAATTAACCAAGATTTCCACACCATAAAATAATACAGTTAGTAGTAATTTTATTAAAATTTGCATTCTGTAATTTCCCATCTATTAAACATTAAGTTGTTGATCTAGAATCTTGTTATCTTAGAAAAAGCCTCCTCTGACTCTACATCCCATTTCATTTATTGTAGCATTTTTCTCTTTCCTTCACAGTATACTTTTTGAAAACTTGTATGCTATACAGTCCCATGGTTTGAACATAAAACATATACAAATTTATGTAGTAAAAACCTCCATCCTACCCTGTCCCCAATCTGCTAAGTTTCTGTTCTCCTAAACAAGTTTATTTCTTGTTTTTTTTTTTTTTTATTTCAATAGATTTAGGGAGTACAAATGTTT